GGGAGACACCGCAGAATACGACGGAGTGCTCCTTGTTGCTCTGACACGGTTTTTATACGCACATTGAACTCGAGTCTCTTCTGTTAAAGAGACTACACAGGAGAATATCGCTCCATTTGAGAGTATTACAGACAAATAATTCGTGGCAAAACAAAGTTAATATGTCGATCGAGTTTTAGAGAGTTCTCGAGAGAGAGAGAGAGAGAGAGAGAGAGAGAGAGAGAGAGAGAGAGAGAGAGAGAGAGAGAGAGAGGGGGGGGGGGTAATCAAAGGAAAAACAACCAGAAGGAGGTCGTGATTTTTTTAAAAGGGGGAACAAAAGAAAAAAGAAAATACTCCGCCTCCTTCTCACTACTTCAATAGAGTATAACAGCAGCATAAAAACCACTACCAACTTCAAATAGCTTAATTGACCCGTCGCCACAGCTGAGGCTGTCGAAACTGATTAATAGTACAACTTCATAAAATATAGGCGACTAAGCTTATTCTGTAACAGGTCTACCACATTTTCAGTTAAACGACAACGACAACAACAACAACAACAGCAACAACTACAACTACAACCACAACAAAAATAAAACTGCTTCAACTGGTCTTCAGCAGCAAAGAAGTAAATAAGTACGCGACAAAAATTAATTCACCTTAGGTGCTATCAACACTCGTGACGTTAGTAATTAATACACGTGATAAACTCAGGCAAAACTGTTAGATCTAAGTCTTCATTATAGTGCGGTCAAAAAATTCGTGGCGCAACTTATCTTTTCAAACTTAAAATATATATTATTTAACGGGAGAATCAATGTCACCCATACTGTGCACAGTAGTTTGTATCAATTTGCCTGAACTTAATCATAGTTTTCCCCATAACAAATCTGATTAGGTTTAAAAAAAAAAACCAAAAGCATTCATAAATTTGTATAAACATTTTATATTTGATAGGCCTAGGGCCTACTATAAATCTCCGTCACCGAAAATGGGATTGTTCCAGGGACGAAGGCTGACTTGTTTGACAGGGTAATCAAAGTGAAATGGGACCAGATAGGGCCTGTAGATACCACACAAGGATCTTACTCGAGGCGGCGACTCTGAGTTGTGAATGAAAACAAATCCGGAATTCATATTGTATGTTCAACCGCCAAAATAATCGGGAAAGTATCTTATTAAATATCAGTTCCCACTAAAATTAAACTTAACTTTAGATGTGAATACATAAACATAAAGCAAAGAAGCAGAGATGTCAGTACTAGATCTATATGTTATAGATCTACCAGTGAGTCTAACTCTTTGGTAGAACATGACAATTATTATTTTTTAAATTTCACATTTGGCAGTTTTTGTTAGCCTTTCGCGGCCAGGAGCTGGTGTCATAATCGAGGTCACGATCTGATTATAGGACGGTAAAAAGTCGAGGAAAAAAAACAAGCACAAGCAGCAGTCAAGAGACTATTAAGAGTTAGTTCCCCTCACATTTGTGAGGTAGACTCGACCAGTGTTAGTTAGCTTACTTAATCAGGGCTGGTGATTGATTTTAACTGTGGCCCCAAAGGGGTGAACAGGGTATATGTGGCAATGAAACAGCTTTGACTGCCATGCACATGTTCCCTTCAACTCTATTCCAGCCTCACTTTATTTGTTGATTACGAACGTCTTTTGACATTTAATTTATGAGGTTTACGTTTAAGGGTGAATTTGACAGCGACAATGTTTCAAAATTAGAAAGGGAAGCAGTGATTATTTGATTATATAGACGCTTCGCACCTGGATTGTTCACAGCGCGCACTTCCCGCCTCTCTCACACATTTTGCATATTATACGCTTTGCCTACGCCACAGCCCACCAATGACACTCTTTAGTTTTAGTGTCAAAACTTTTTATTTTATTGTCAACACTTTTTCTGCACCAAAAATTCTCAAAACATTCGTTCAATAAGCATAATACGATTTGAAAAACATCACGGACTTGCTTTTAAAAGCGATATTTCCCCAGCCGTAAAAATCTAAATTGGATTTTCTATTAGTACTTTAACTTTGTGAGGGTTTTTATAGAATACAGCTAACAGGTGTTTGCAAAAATATTGTTCTGTTAAGACATACATGTATATTCTGTATATAGTATAGCATATATATATATATTATCTATCTATCTATCTATATATATATATATATATATATATATATATATATATATATATATATATATGTATACATTTTTTCTAAGGTCATTGACTGGCATTGAAACGGCTTAGTGGTGTTGACAGCGTTCACTGATTCAGCCTCATTTATACATTCACCGTTGTTTTGTGTTTCATCGTTTTAAAAAGCTCGAGGGAAGAAAGATTAATTTCATCATCATCATCATCATCATCATCATCATCATCATCATCATCATCATCATC